AAATGCAGCACCAAAATGGAGAGCCCCAGCGTCCAGGCCACTCAATTGGGGAGATAAATTGATTTTCTACATGGAGAATTACTTCCGGACGCCTCGCATTGAATCATTCAATTGCTCTGTGGTCAACTCTTCCTGGCCGAATTGCTCGCACCTCAAAAATCAATAAACACTTCATCACTTCCGCAATGCACTTTTGCCCCCATTTAACACCACATATATATTTTCACCTTAATTGCCGGCCTTGTTTCTGGCATCTCCAAGCAAGTTCAGTGACTTCTTCGGGAGAGGAAAAAGAAAGACCATCAATTTTGTGATTATTCACTCTTCTCTTGAATTATGCGAAAAAGTATTGAATTATTTGAGAGCAGCAAATTAAGCTTTAAAGGCATTTTGGAGTTCCAATTGTATTTCCTGCTAATTTTAGGCCTTCGAGACCAGCTTGTGGCAATTTTAGTGACTTTTATGCTTATTAAATATTCTAAAAATTATAAATATAATAAAATTTATTGAAATGTTTTATCAAAAATCTTAATTTTATTATGATTTTGCAATTTTACTTGGAAAAAAAAATCAATAATGATGATTTTTATTCAAATTTGTATTATTTCAAAGTAAAAGCAAATATTTAAATATTTGATTGAGACTTTTCTGTTGTGTAAAATAAGGCATGAAGCTAAATTTATATCGTCTCGAAAAGGAATGAAATCGGCAATAAAAATACTTATAAATTTCTCACGAAGAAATTAGATACAAATAATCCAGTATTTTTTCATCTGTCACGTGATTCCAAAGTCCGTTCAGTTAATCTCTTAATGGCACTTCTATTGCACCTTTTGCCGAAGTTTCACTATGCAGAAAAAAGCGATCTGTGAAGTTCTCACTTTTTTCCATTGGAATTCATCATTCATCCCCTATTGATATCGGTTTTTTTAGCTAATGGAAAAGGTTTCATTTCATCTAATGGAACATTTGAATAAAGGTGTGGCTGAATTATCACATTTTTATCTCTCACATTCATCAGTTTACGTGTGCAGAGTGTCTATTGACGTGTCACGAGTGAATAAGAACGGAAATTCCCACTTCAATGCGCAGTGCAAGCTTTAAGCAATTGCATTAACACTTCAATGCATTTGAGCAATTTTGTGGTAAATTCACGGAGCTTTCCAGATTGACATGTTAGAGAATATTTCCACACAATCAATCTCTCAGCTTAGCTTATGAAAAAGTGCCTGAAACCTCGTATAATTGATCTCACATTTAGTATGCAAAAGCCAAGGCAAAAGCTCAGCAAAGCCATTCGCTGAGTTTCTCTTTAAGGAGGAAAGCAACAGAGCGTCACATGGCGATGATGATGGCTCTCCTGCGATGGAATAACCAGAGGAAATTCCATATAATACGTCGATTTGGAGCACTCTCTCGTGCTGCCGAACAATTCCCACTCTATTGCCAACCATTATTGTCAATTGAAGTCCAAAACGGACGACGCCGGAGGACAAATGGAGGCGAGTGGCAAGAAGAATGGTTCGCAGCGCGAGCTTTTGCTTATATTGCAGAAGAATTTATTCTTTCCAAACGGAACTCTGGTGTGTCCGAACTCGCGCTTTATTCAATTGTTTCCCCGGGTGAGAAGGTTAAATGCGAACAAGAGGAGCGTTATAAATTACTCTTGGTAGGATTTTTATGGTGCACAGCAGAGATTTACCGATATCGCATCTTGGGGAGCATTTAAGAATTTATGTGCCATCTCGAAGTGAGAGAGAAATTGATATTTTGCGCGATTTTGGCAAAATGAGACAGGCTCGAGAGATTTATTCAAATGCTATAACTTCTCAATGACATCAAATGGATTCTTCCTTGTTTTATTTTCCTGTATCGCGCGCGTCGAAAATTCTCTATTCAGCACTGATTGCAGAAAAGCAAGGGGAAGATAATATAGTCAGAAGTGGTGTACAGCTCAGTAGAAGTGCTTCGGAAGTGAAAGTGTTCAAAAACCTTCAATATTCCTTTCCTGCGTGCTTCTTTTACTGACTAATCATTCCGATTCTTTGGATTTCCTTCGATTTTCACTCGCAAACAAACGTAATAATATTTTTTGAGGTTATGTATAATGAATCACAGACAAATTTACTGAAAATTTCGCATTATTGCGCATGAATTTTTATGTTACAGTCATCAAGATCGCCAGACATTGGCAGAATTAAGCATTTTCGTGTCAAAAATGTGTGAAAAACACTGCAAATTGTATTGAAGCAGAACATAACTTCAAAAAGAATCCTTTTGATTATGAATTTTGACTCTGAATCAGCAGTTTTGAGTTCATTTGCCAAACATAAGAGATCATTTTGTGATCGAGAATGCTTTAAAATGGAGTTTTTGAAGATCTCTTGATAATATTCAGGTTATGGTTGAAAAATGTGTGCAAAAATGCATTCTTAAGTCGATTCTTATAGAAATATCGGATAGAAACTTAAGAGATTCTTTATCATTTCAGAATCAATGTGTTTAACTAAAGTGTTTGAGAGTTGGTGTACAGATTAAAGTCGTTTTATTTCCGCCTTGCAGAAAAGCGCGCGTCTTTTCGATTAAATTTCAATAGTTTATGGTGGACTGATTCAATTATACAATTCCTCCTTCGTTGCATTTCATCGCGTACTTTGGCAAGAATTTAATTCGGAGCTCCACGAAGAGACGATCCATTTTAATCCCTCATTTCCATGCAATTTGAAAGCTCTCATCGCGCATTTCTTTATCGCGAGATTCAACACACACTTTTGCCGCTACCTTAATTGATTCCAATGTGATCTTCCGGCGCCGCAGAAACTTCAGCAATATTTGGTTTATGCGTCTATATTTTCGCTGCACGTAAAAATTCCCCACTGATAGTGAGATATAATGGGGAAATAATGTCCCAAATGGGTAGTTAAGTGCTCCACAAATTGCAAAACTTCGCCGCCCTTTTGTGGGAGCTTTAAAAGCTCCCGCGCGAAGGTATTGAAGGAAAAGAGAAATAATTTATTTCTATATGAGATTGCAATTATCTGGAAATATCGAATAGTTTCATGTAGAGCCATTTATTATAATTCATTCAAGACGTAAATAAGAGTTTTCACAGTGAATTTTGAGTGGAAAATCTTCACATTTACTTAATTTGAATACAAAAGAAATTAATGACTAATCATAATATTTTCTTCAAATTTTACACAATGAACAACACTTCTTTGGTAAACCGTATTTTAATCTAGATTTTCCAAAAATACTCTAAAACTTTGAATAAAACAAAATATATTTTGTGTATCTTTTAATTTTTTAAGTGTAAAAAGTTGATATATAAGAACTTTGTATTATAAATCAACTGTGGAAACTAATATTTTCAATTTTTCTATTAACTTTGTTATATTTCAGTAGAATATTTTCAAAAATTACCCAATAAAATCAACTGGAATATTCAGAAAATAATTATTACAAGTTTAAAATTCATCTGAGAGCTTTCAAACTTGAGAAAGTTGAAATTCTAAATCTTGAACTTTCAAACGATTCAAATTTTATCAAATTTCGATGTGAAGTTTCGTGTGAAGAGTTTGAATTTGGCGAATATTTAGTTAGAAATGATAGAATATTGTGACTAGAATATTGATGAAAATTTACCCCTTTAAGTCCCAATTATCCTGTTCCCAAGGAAGAGGGATAAATATACATTGCAGACGGTGTTGGAACTAGAATTAAAATAAAAAGCGAGGAGATAATGTGGTTGTTTAGCACCATCCTGTGGGATTCACACATTCATCACTCCCATGGAATAATTACACTAATTAGTTAATTAAATTAGACTCTAATGATAATTTACTGAAGCACATCTGTCTGATTGTCAATTCAGGTGACTCTGGTGTGTGTTCACACATGGAGGCTCACATTCAATTTGGCGCGCGAAGATCGACAAGTGCTTGCGTTTGAGAAAATCCCTGATTAGCACACTGTTCGGGGGGGTGTGAAGGCGAGAGGGTTGAGTGTCTGGAGAGCTTCTGATGACTCAATTAATTTTCCATCGTGCGCGCAAAAAAAAGGGCTGAATGAGGGCGATTTTTATTGTGGGATTCAAAAGCTTCGTGAGCCGCCAAATTAATTTCCGGCCCAAATGCCTTAAGAGTAGCTTGTGTCATCCTGGCAGCCAATATTCCTCAAGGCGAGAACGGGCCAAGAGGTCGTTGCTGGGTGTTTAATGAAAAGCGCTGGGAAAAGTCACGGTGAAGAGTGGGTTTTAGCCAGATATGGATTGGCCTTTAGGGGTCGATAGAGCGCGGCGCTTTGCCGGGGGGTGTTTTGTTCATGAAAAAGGAATAAAAAGGATGGGGTTGTGCGAGAATCATCAAAAATAACTGGCAGAGATTTCCCTCTTTTCACTCTGGGCTCATGGCAAAATATCTCTTCCAGGGTTGATTTTTTGCGCGCGATTCACCCACATATTTGAGGGGGGATGCTTGAAAATGTGTAAAGGCGAAGGCAGTTTGAATAATTTTCAAATAAATTCACACAACATCAACGATGAAAATTCTTTTACGCTCACTTTCTCTCTCTCTTTATTACATCAATCTCCATTCCTCAGCCAATCTCTGTCTCTCTGGTTGTGTCTTTTTGCCAGGAATTTCTGTCGCTCTGTTGCTCGCAACTTTCTTTTGCCCTCTTCTTTTGGGCGGGGAGGTGAAAGTGAAATCCATGAGGAATGACATCAGAGAATAATATGAACATTTGGGGAATAATATTTTATTTAAACGACGCTACTCTGGTGGCAATTCTTCACACAATTCTCTGGCACTGATTTGAACTCACTCTTAGATGGTTAAATTCTTATTAAAAATTTATGTTGAGGTGATTTAGATTATTGCAAAATACTCTTAATTCTTAATTTTTCTTCACTTACCTCCGAAAAAGAAGAATCTCTCACACTAAACAGTTCATTAGTGAAAAATGGAAGGTTTTTTTTGTAGCAATAATGCTCAATTGTTCGATTTATGATTCTTCCTAAATATTTAAAACCCAATTAAAATGCCCAGACGATGACTTTCAGCAGCAGCTTTTCTTCTTCTTGCGCGCAACGATGCGAATATATAGTTTGCAACAAAAGTCGAGCTTTTTCTTCACTTTTCATCCTCGTTTTCATCCATGATTTATTAACAACGGTATCCAGGACAATTACTTACTGCTTCTCTCATGAATATCAGTTTCATTTTTTTTTTCTCAAAACACGAGTTTCACTTACATTTCAATGCTTCTGGCATTGTCTTTAGTCACTAGAGATTTACCTTAATTTTATACATGATATCGGTTTCTTAAACTCACCTCCTCTCAAGTTAGATACACGTGTTTCTCCTCTCATTCTATATATGGTTTTTTTCCTCTTCTTTCTGAATATACATAATTGCTGGAAAATGTCCCTTTTTCTATGTCTATATAATCTCTTACTTTAGTAATGTGTATAAAAAACTAAAAGTATATCATTGTGTACATTTTAAAATTGTTGTTTTGAGGAGGCTAAATTAATATGTTATTTTCCAAAGAGACTTTGCAAGGGGGAGATAATGGATTAATAGTTCAGCAGAAGTATTGGAAAAAGTGTTAAATTATTTGTAATTATTTGATTTTTTTTTTCGTTTCTACTCAATGACTTTTTCGTATTTAAATGCGGCGTAGAATTTTTTTTTTCTTTTTTGAATGCGTCCAGACTTTAGTCACATTATCTCCCCCTTGTGATTTTGGTGGATGTTCTCAGAATGAAAGAATGTTGTTCAGCGGAATGCAAGAATGTTTCACACAAATATCTAGCTGAGTTCCTCTTCGTCTCTAAAGTCAAAAGTCCCTAGCACGAGAACATCCTCATTTACCTTACAATTTTCCCAAATGGAGCCATTTAATGTATATTTAGTAAAAATCCACGGACTTGAAGATGTGACAATAAACACTGGGGGATATAAAATTGCCTAGAAGGAGTTTATCATGAAGATTGGGGGATATTTACTTGAGTGTCTCTCCTGGCTGTTCAGCTCTTGAACGGGTGCTGGTCGGCGTTGGGGTCGTTGAGCTTCTTCAGGAGGGCGTTGCGGTGGAGCCAGTACGGCGGCGGCTCAGGCGGCTGGCCGGGCAGGAGGGACTTGTTCTTCAGGATGCTCTTGGCGCCGCTCTCCTCGCCCAGCAGACCCGCGGGCGGGTTCTGGTGCAGCACGGCGGCGCTGTACATCAGCGGATCGGCGAGCTTCGCGGCGCCGGCCTTCGGCGGCATCTCCTTGCGCCGGATTGTCTCGCACGTCTCCTTCATCTTGCACAGCTGCTCCTGCAGATTGCGGTACTCCTCCAGGAAGCGCTCCAGCTGCGCCGCGTGGTAGTCGTAGGCGCTCGACGAGGCGCCCGTGGAGGAGGAGGGCGTCTGGACCAGCGGACTGCGCGCCGGCAGGGCGGAGAAGTCCAGCAGCGGCGTGGCCACGGGCGACAGCAGCCGCTTGGCGTCCTTGGCGGGAGACGTGGGCAAGCTCGGGTACTGCTTCGCCGTGCCGGGCGACACGAGACTGAGGAAGCTGCTGGAGCGCTGCTGCGGATATCTGCCGCCGATCTCCGCCGAGAGGCGGCGACTCCCGGACATCATGCTGGCGTCATCCAGCGTCTCACTGCCGTAGCGACTCGGACACTCGGGCAGGAGCGGCGACTGGCTGTCCGTGGAGGCATTTCGCGGGAAGTATTTCGCATTCCCGCCCAATCTCTTCCGCGGCAGCGTGCAGAAGTTGCTGCTGGCCGCCGGGCTCTTGGATCTCGTGATCTCCAGCAAGTCCGGATAGCCCTTCTCCACCTCAATCTCCGCCGCCTCGGCGCCAGACGGACTGCGCCGGTGCTGCGCCTCCGGGAAGATGCTGGGCTGCATCATCTGCTTCTTCATCACATGCTGCGACCATGTGGGCTTAAAGCTACTGCCGCCGGCCGTGGAGACCTTGCCGAAGGGCGCCATGGCGGCGCCGGACACCGCGCTTGCACTGGGAAATTGCCCATCATTCCTGCAGAGGAAGAGAGACAGAAAGAAAGGGCATGAGGACGTCCTGGCGTGCCTCTAATGACTGTGACATCTACAGTGCTCTGTTGAAAATGACGATGCAGGCAAATGAAAGTGAAGTGAAGGTGGAAATAATATGAAAAACTCTACGGAAAATGCATGAAACCAAACATTTCTACTTTGATCACTCTGCGCTGTGTTTCTATTTACCGACAGTCAATTCGTGGAATGTGCAAGTCGGCGTCATCCGCCGCGAAACCTCCGGCAATCTGCGCGGCGTCCATGGGCGGCTGACTCGAGATTATCTTCCACTTGGGCGCCGCGTGCGTCTCCCTGCGCGCCGGGATGTCGCAGTTGTCCTCGTATCCAGTGCCATCGTCCTCACTGGGCACATTCCGGTAGTCCCCGTGCCGCCGCTGCACCGCCGCCGTTGTGGCCGCGCCCACGAACGCAATTCCATTCTCCGCCGCGGTCAGCTTGGCCGCCATTATGTTCAGCGTCTCTCCGGCGCGCGGACTCTTGTGCTGCCCAGGCGCTGGGCCGCCAGCCTTGGTCTTCATCTCGATCTTCTCGTAGCTCTCGCGGCGGCCGGCGGCGTTGTGCGACCAGGACTTGAGTTTGCGGCTGCGCCGCACGGCGAAAAGGCAAACGGCCACGAGCAGGGAGAAGACCACGAAGAGAATCGCCACCACAACGCTGGCCAGCAGAATCCGCCCGGAGATGCTGTTCTCCGGCGGCCGACGGGTCACGGTCAGCGTCACGGAGGCTTCCGCGCGGCCAGCCTTGTTCTCCGCCATGCAGACGTACGTGCCGGCGTCCTGGGACTCCGTGCTGACGATGGTGAGACTGCTGCCGTTCCGCCTGGCCTGCACAATGTACGACCGCCTGGCCAGGCCGGCGGTGGCGTTGCCCAGCACGCGGTTCCTCAGGATCCACTTGACGCTGGGCTCGGGAATGCCGCCCACATTGCAGCTCATGGTCACGTTGCGACCCTCCGTGGCGTCCGCGTTGGCGCGCGTGGCCAAGATGTGGGGCGTGCAGGCGAAGTCGTCCAGCTCCAGGCGATCCCACGGCCTCCCCATCAGCCGCGGCGGGTGGCGGCAGAGAGGCACAACGGCTGAGGGGATTTTCTGGCGCAGCATCCACTCCCGGAGCGGCCGGAGCGCGCAAGAGCAGTTCCACGCGTTGCGCGCCAGCTCCAGGCCGTGCAGATTGTACAGCATTGTGAGAGTGGAGGCTCTCACGTCCATCAGGCGGTTGCCGTCGAGGTGCAGCCACTCCAGGGTGGTCTCGAGACTGGCGAAAGCTCTGGCGTCGATTGCGGTGATTCGGCAGTCGGACAGCTCCAGGCGCACCAACTGAGGCAGCTGACCGAACGCGTCTGTGGCGATCCTCTGGATGGGATTCCCGTTGAGCTTGAGCTCTCTGAGCTCGGAGATGGAGCTGAACACGTGCGACGGCACCGTGGCCAGAGCATTGTTGCTCAGATCCAGCTCCACGAGGTTGCTCAGGTCCCGGAACGCGTACCTGTCCAGCGCCTTCAGGCGACAGCGCACCACGAACAGGCGCTGCAGGTTCCGCAGGCTGACGCGACTGAAGGCGTCCCGGTCGATGCTGGCGATGTCGTTGCCCGTGAGGTCCAGCACCTGCGTCCCGGCGTCCAGCTTCGCGGGGATGAACGTGAGGTTGGCATTGATGCAGGACACGGACTCCTTGCCGCTCTTCCACTTGCACTCGCACAAGTGAGGGCAGTCGCCGCGCGTGCCGCCGATGCTCAGGATGAGGATCAAGATGATGCGCGTCGCCAGGCGGGCCGTGTCCATTCCCAAATCGCTTATCTCTGCTGCTTCACATTCAGTGCCACGCCAGCAGCCATTCTGCACACCTGGCCATCATCTCAGGCGCATCCTCAGCCGCACACAGCCTGCAGAGAACCGGAGAGAGAGAGAGAGAGGGAATTAATGCAGGATCGAACGCTTCGGCAAAAAATCTAATTATCAGCTTTCGAGAGACACAATTCCTGCTCTTCTCAATTTCATGCAAATTCGGGCATGTTAGCAACGCGCCGTCTAATTTCCACCATTCACTCCTTCATTCCATCTGACCATCTCCGCTCTCCCCCCGCAAAACCTCCACTTGTGCGGGTTGCTGCTTTTTTCCCACCCCGAGCAGAGAGTTTTTAATAGTTTTCCTCCCCATTTTTCCACACTAATTAAAGTCCTGTCAGGACAAATGGAAAACTAATTAAATTTAATTTCATCTCCCACTCTGTGTCACTTGATTTCCTTCACCTCAGCCTTTTCACTCTGTGTCCTGCCGAGGAAGTTGAGGACGATTGAAAGGCTTTCACCACAAAAAGACTTCCTTCTCGTCGTCCACAGGCTTCACGACATTCTGCGCAAATGAAAACTTCCCACGGCTTCTCATACGATGAAAATTATTATTAAGAAAAAAAAAGTGTGGATTTTCTGGTGTATTCTCAGGACGAGCAATCTTCCTTCCTCAACTTTGGCTACGGAGAAATTCAATAAATTCAGGATTATGCATGGATTACGCTGTTTACGTCTTCCACACTTCTTTTAAAGTTTCTTAAAGGCATAAATAAGAAGCATAATCTCAAGAGTAAATAAGTGTCTTTCACAGTGAATCTTGAGTGGCGCAAAATGGCTAATTTGACGATTGACATCAGAAATTAGAACAAGTTTTATAGACAAATGTTATGGACAAGGGGGAGATAATGTGCCTCAAAACACTTCTAAATTTGCCTGACACTTCTAGAACTTGAAGTTTTTAGACTATTTCCACATTATTCCCAAATTTTAATGAATCTCTTGAGGTTTCATTCGATATTTCCATAAAAATCGACTTAAAAACGCTGTTTTTAGACATTTTTTCTGATCATAACCTCAAAAATATTACTAAGAAAGCTTTAAAAACTCAATTCGAAAGCTTTCCTGATTTTCCAATGATGTTAAAAGTGCTGATTCACAGTCAAAATTGTCCAGAAAGTTGTCTAAATGGACATTTTCCAAGTTCAAATGTCTATTTTTGAGGTTATGTCCAATCTTAGCACAATTTGCACTGTTTCTTGGCATCAAAGGATGAAAAAAGCACTGTTAATTGCTTGCAAATGCTTAATTCAGTCAAGGACTAGCAGAATTTATGTGCTACAATGCGAATTATTCACTAAATCTGTCCTAATTTGTTACATAACCTAGAAAAAAGCTTTAAACGTTTGTTTCTGCGTGAAAATCGAAGGAAATTCGACGAATCTTGATGATTAGTGAGTAAAAGAAGCACGTTGGAATGAAATATTGTAGGTTTTTCAACACTTCCACTCCTTTTGAGTACTTCTTCTGAGCTGTACACCACTTCTGACTGTATTATCTCCCCCTTGGTTATGGAAAATATGAGACAATTGAAGAAAAATTGGGGAAAAAACGCCTCAAATCCTCATTGCAAGAGCAATTTAATGCTTTCTCGTGCGTCTGAGATAAATCCTCCTTGCGGTGCAATCCCAAAATAAGCATCGTCGACCTGACCAAGAATATCTCTCACTATTGATAAATTCTCACCCAACGAGGCGTGCGGCTTGGGGAGGAAATTGTGAGTCCCTTGGAAAAGTCATTGAGTCCAGGAAATAAACATGAAGTCTCAAATGTGGTTTGATCACTGAAGCGTCAATGGTTTTCCAACCGCAAAAGCTCTCCTCTTGCACGTCTATTCTTGGACTGTTTTTCACTTGGTCGGTGAAAATATTTCTGCCAATTTTCCACAGTCGCCCAATCCTATTTTCATCCTCCGCACTAGCGCTGAAATACTGCTTTGCACACCCAAAATTTCAAAAGGTGAGAGATGAAAATTCGATGCATATTTTGCATTTTGAGAATGCATCTGTGTGTGTCGAATTGGGTGGAGGGTTGGGGGGTTGGGGGGGGGTTGCAGAGGGACTCGACTGAGTGCGAGATGACCATTAATTCTAATTGGATCTCTAAATACGAATTCCGTACAAACTGTAATTCACCCGTAATTACATGAATAATTAAAATGAGCCAAATGAAATTGCCAAAAGAGCAAATTAGTTTATATAGCAACGAAATGTGCTGAAGTTCCTCCGCCTCATGTGGAAAATGCCTTTTCTCTCCTGTGCCAGACTTTTCCCGCCATGAGGAAAGTCATCTGTGGATGTATTTATTAATGTACTTCTCGGGTGGGTGAGCATGTTTTTCATACCGCACACAGGTGGAAAATTTGAATAATTTCACTCAGAAGCAAATTGAAAATATTTACTCATTTGCTTCATGGCTCTGGCCGGAAGTTTTGCATGAATTTACAGAAAGATTCTGGCTCATCTAAGGGGTAAATAAGCCGATTTTCAGCCCTGATTGGCGCAATTTCCTAAATAAGAATGACTAAAAGTTTGATAATTCTCTCATTATTCCTCTATGCAGACGAGTTTGGACGCTTTTAAGCTCTGAATTGTTGATTTTCCGGCAAAACACAATAATTTATTATTTCAAATAAAGCTCTGCTTTTGCTCAGTCTTAAATCATATATAGAGTATTTTGAAGTATCAAAGCTTCTTCATCATTCCATATATCAAACGATTGTAATGCCAAGGGGGAGATAATACGGTCAGAAGTGGTGTACAGATCAGAAGGAGTTTAAGAAAGTGGAAATGTTTCAATTTATGACATATTTTTCTAAGTTTTGTGATTGATTTAAGGACTGAATAATCCATAAAGTCTGAAGTTCTGGAAAGTGTTGAAGATTTTCCATACAAATTGAGGAAGTGTCAGGAAGTGATGTACAGATTTGAGCCATATTATCTTCCCCTTGTGCAGTGTAAATCGCGAATTTTGAGGTTAACTCAAAGAGTCTCTTTCTTCACTTAATCTTGCGCTCAAGATTGACTGCAAAAGACACTTATTTACCCCTTGGGCTCTTCATGCATCACAAGAGAAGAGATTCGCAGACGATTTCACTGTTTGGCTTTTGACGCCGATGATATAAAATCGAGTGGAGAATATTTGGGGTGTTCTCAGTGACAAGAGTCCGTATTGAAAGCTTCTCGCCACTTGAGACCTTTTCAGAGAGAAGAGAGATTTTTACCATAGCAGCGCGTGGAGAGCTTTCAGCCATCTTCCACTCGAAATCTTCCTCCAGAACTTCTCTTGGAACACATCATAGCCATTCACCTCGCCATTTGAGCGTCTCCGGGAGCGACCGGGGGGCGGAAATTGAGGGCGTCTCGGTGCATTTCAATTGAAAGCTCACCTTATTGCGAGACAAAATTGCTGCCGGAGTTTAATATGTGCATGTTCGAGAGCGTGCCTTCCGAGCCATTAGTCAAGAAGTGTGGCTGAGAAAGAAGCTTCAGCGCCGCGGTTCTTTAATCAACAACTCAGTTGCTAATTTACCAAACTTTCACCATCAATTCAACCCTTCAGAATCACCCTCATGGAAAATGACTGCCTCTCTCTCTCTTCGCATTTAATTATTCCTCTCAATTAAAATGATTTTTCTATTTCCGCATAGCGCGCATAGCTTCGGGACAATGCGGCGTGTGTATAGAAACTTTCCGCCAAAGTACAAATGCAGCGTATTTAATTAATTTCTGCAAATTATTATGGGTAAAAAAAAACCGCGCCTCTTCGACTTTTCTGTGCGCTCTCTTTGCCGCCGCAGAGAAAAAGTCCCAGTGAAAGTTGGTGGAAAATTAATGTGCGCTGTGTTTTGCAGAATGCGGAATGAAAGCTAATTTTGGCGAATATTAATTAGCCCAAAACGCACCAGGTGATTTTCAGCCCCCCAAACTCCACCCCCTCGCGTGTCCACGATCAATAGCATTGCAACCACTTTTCCATTATGCCAGGCGCACATTTGCAATGGAAATGGCACAAATGAATGTATTTGGAAATGACTTCATTTTGCCAATGATCAAAGTGTTCAAACCGCGAATTTCAGTGCGACCCGAATTTTTGGCGGCCAGAGCTTTCTTCGTGTTCCGCCAGCCGTGAATTTGCAGCTCTGGGGATATTGTGTGGCTTTCAGATTAACTCCGGCTTCCGCTCAAATGCAAAATACTCTCCGACTCTGGTCGCTTTTGCCTGCACTGTAATTTCATGGGATTCTCACCAGCTCTGCCACAAATGAAATCACATCGCATGAATGGACGCTGTGTCGGTGGAAGCTGATCAAGGAGATTCGTGCAGCATTCTGATCTGCGGTTTCATGTCCAAATCTCCCGCTAGACTCTGGATGATCCGAATTTTCCGTGTGCGCGCCAAAACGGAAAATCTTTCGGCTCAAAAATGCATGCAATTGACGCTAAATCGTCCAGAAATTCCGCACACAAAATGTGGAAATGACATGAAAAGGTGTTTCTCGGAGACACAAGGGAAAGATATTATGGTCGGCATTTTCCAAGTCATTTTGTTTGATTTAAAACAGATTTTGGTGATGAAATAACCTTCAAAGAGATCAACTGTGTTTAATCTGGGGAATATTTCTCTTTTTCTTGGCAAATTTCAGGTTTTTCTGTTCAAAATAACTTCATATTGAGTAAGAAAAAGCTTAAAAATCATTCATAACCTTAAAAAAAAGTCATTTCAGTCTAGAATAGAGTCTGGTTTCTTAGTTATTTCCGCGATTTGTGTTCATTAGTCTCAATATCATTGAGATTTTTGTTATATTTACTCATTTTCAAGTGTGAAAAGATTAAAATTAGTCCAAGATTAGGTTTTAAGTCGAATTCATAACTTCACAATTTGGTAAGAATGACAAAACTAGAAAAGCAAGACAGAAGAACCTGCTTTAAATTGTGAAAAGTCAGAAATAAGTCTGAGAAAATGCCTCTAAAGGGGTTCAGAAGTGTCTAAAAGTGTTGAAGAAAATGTTTGACTCGAACATTTTCATTAACAA